GAACTCAGGTTGCTCCAAGCCCTACCCAACCTGGCCTTGGACACTTCTCCAGGGATGAGACAGCCAAGGCTTCTCTGGGCAAAACTGTGCCAGGGCCTCACCACCCTCACAGCAAAGAATTTCCTGCTAATCTCCAATCTAAAACCTCCCTCTCAGTCTGAAGCCGTTCCCCCTTGTCCTGTCGCTGATCACTCCTGGGAACCTGCTACTTTGAGGCTGAGGAATCAGGACAGGATAACTTGATGCTCCTTGCTCTCTCCTCTCTAGATCCTAAGTGTTCCCCTGCCTCCCCAGGACAAGCAGGAGGAAAGAGGAGTAATTTTTCTCCTGCCAGGTCCTAGAAAACTGTGGGGCCACTTGGAAGAAGAGTGAACAGAGTTATAAAGCCCTTTCTTCAGAGGGCGAGTCCTCCAAAGAAATGCTTTAAAAGGGCATCCTTAGCAATTCCTTTTCACACAGTCCCAATCCAATTCCAGAAGTAATACTGAACCCAAATGACTTGGAAAGTCTGTCTGAAAAAATATTTTCTAAGATGAGGATAACACGACTGAAACTTCAGCACCTCTCACTTAAAGATGCCATAATGGTAAATGATCCATCCAGCCTTGGCCAAAAGGCCTGGGGTTTTTTTAAAGGTTTAATCCCATTCTAATATCTTTCAATCTTCCTGTTTCAGTCCCAGGTATCTGCAAAGAGGAAGCAAATGGCAGTCTCATGCAGATGTAAGAAAATAATAATTTCCAACACAAGTTCTATGAGAAATGTTGGATGCACTTTCAAAAGGGTAGATCTTGAAAGTTGAAAATATTCAAGCAAAGCGTTTGAAGAGATGGGCACCTTCCACCTGAATAGCAAACAAATATGGTTGGGCTGGTCCTAGAAGGAACCACGACAACATATTTGTAGAAAAGTCAGGCAGAAGAATAATAACTGCTGACACAGCTTCAATATGGAAAATAAAAACCAAACTACCTAGAAACATAAAATAAATTATAAAAGAAACCACTTGCTCATCCTGTCAAGAAGGGGGCATTAGCAACTCTGCAAGGTTCTCCCAGCTGCCAGGCTGATTCCAGGGAGAAGGATGCATGGACACAGAGCCTGGATCCAGGGAGCAGGTCTGCTGCACCCACACGGCACCTCAAGGACCCTCCTCACCCCGCTCTGCAGACCCGCTCTCAAAACTCTGGGAATGAGACTCGTCCAAGGGAACAGAGACTGCTCCGTATGCCACAGGTGAGCAGCACAGCCTGTCCAGGTGTTCCTGCCCACTCCCACAGGGGCACCTGGCAAATATCAGATGAACCCCAGAAGACCCGAATGACCATTGCTGCTACAGTGTTTTTGGCTATGTGCCTACCAGATGCGGAGCACAGAGAACCCTTTGTTCCAGAGGCATTGTTACCACAGGCCAAACTGCCTCCTGCCGCAAGAGAGGTGATCAGATTCCCCTTCTCCTCCCCTCCCCATCTGTTCACTGCAACCATGTTACGCGTGAGAATTTGCATAAATTGCCCTCTGATCTGTGGAAGAAAATCCAAAATCCAGTTTGGAAATCCACAGCAGGTTGACAAGTAGCTTTGATCCCTGAAATTTCCAGAGAGCGGCAGATTAAGGATTAATTAATTAACATTCTCCCGATCCAAAGTGAGGGAAATCATGTCCACCATAAGCACAGAAACAAGTCTTCCATTACAGACATTCCCCATCAGTATCTGAAGGTTCTCCCATTAGTCAGCCAGGAAACTCATTTCACACACCCAAGTCAACCACACCATTCTTCTGGCATGTGCACATGAATATGTATTTGTGACAGACACACAAACCCTCATCAGATTCAGACCCTTGGATACTGTGGTTTTCTCTTGTCAGGACAGTACCAGAGTGATTTCTCAGAACCTCTCAGGCAAAGGGTCCAGAATTTGGACGCAGTATTAGATGGCAGCCTAAAGGTCACAACCCTCCTCAGACCTCAGCAGATCTTTTTTCTTGTTTGCTTCCAGGGTATTTTTAGAGAGCAGATCTCTCTCTGGGCACGAGCTGCCTCACAGAGAGGCTGAGCCCTCATGACTCCACATATGCAGATCACCTGCAGGCCCAAGGAGATGCAGATTGGGTTGAAGGCTTTCCAAGCACCCTTGGTGCCACAGCTGATTAGTGAGTCATGCAAAGACGTCATTGTGAATGTTATTTCCTGCACTGCTGCTTCACCAAATGCAAAAGCACACAACAAAACTGTGAGTTCAAACACCTGATTTGGGTCCAGACCCCTGTTTCTTCCAGGACCTCTGAACTTCTAGTTTCTGGAAGGATCAACTTCTCTTCTAACGACAAACAAAAGACTGGCTTCACCAAGTTAGAGCAGGGCTCTGCCTTGCCCAACAGCTCCCAAGATATCAACCAGCTACAGAAGACTTTGGAAGAACATAAAGACAAAGCAAAGATATTACCATGGACCCCAGAATACTCCATCACCTTCCAAGCTATTTGTGATCCGGGCATTTCCTGAAATCAAAGGGGTGTCTGTGTATTTAAAAACCTTCCAGGAATCTGCCCAATCATTTTGGAGCCTATGCAAATTTTAGCAACAACATCCTGCAGCAAAGATCTCACAGTATAGATAAGTTCCATGACAAAAGACTTTATTTGTTCTTAGCCTCCTCCTATCTTGAAATTTATATGACTTTCTCTACCACAAAACTTCATCACATCAGCTCTTGAAATAGAAAGATGATCTGCATTCTTTCAGTTTTGATTTGACACAAATAACTTTGTTTACAAGATCAGAGACCCAACGGCCCAAGAAATTACTCCGACGGACAACCCCTTTTCCTCCCCAAAAATAATACAGAACATGTTCCCACAGGTTGAAGCAGAAAAGGAGGAAGCTGTGACTTGAACTCCTCTGGCATTCTCATACATGTTGAACTAGACAGAGGACTAGCTGTGCCTGAGGTGGTAGTGCAAGGTACCTTCCTCCTCTCTTTCTGTTTCAGGTTTCAGTGAGAATCTGGAGAGGCTGTTGAAATACTTCCTTGTGCTGTCTAGAGATCTCCAACACCATCCAACTTAAGCCAAGACACTTAGCTACACATGCTGTGAATGGAAGTCTTTCCAGGACTTCTGTCCTACAGTTGAAAAAATAATCTCCTTTAGAAAGCATGTGCGTGGCCTGAGCTTGCATCTCAGAGAGATTTGAGTTTTGGAACCAGAGAAGTGTTTCCTAGAGATCCCACTACGTACAAAGCCCCAGCAGCTGCACCTGACAAACCACAGCCAGCTTGAGATCCCTTCTCAGTCTCTCTCACTGTATTAAAAAAAAAACAAAAACAAAAAACCTTTGTATTTTCTCCTTCAGGAAAACAGCAGCCCATATTTTTTAGTCACAGTTTTGGAAGAGAGAAAAAAAATGAAGCGATCCCTCTTTGAAGCAGAGAAGCTCACACTGTATTTGGGATCCTCTTTGAAGCTTCACCTTTTGTGCCTGTTAAAACCAAGTATTTTGATACGAAGAATTGGGGTGCCAGCCTCTCCCTTTCTTCCTTTATCCCTAAGTAATACTCATGGATTTCCTCTTCACACATTTCCATCTTTCTTTTGCCACTTCCATTTTACAAAGCTGAGAGAAGGCTTTAGAGACAGCAAGGAAAGAAAACAAAACAAAACAAAAATAGGAGAGCGAGCGGAAATGCCAAAATAGAAAAGTCAGACTTGGGAATTTTGTTTTATGAACCAGAAAACCATTTCCTCTGCAGCCCAACTAAACCCCCATTTTTTTTCCTGCTAATGGACATATGAGGTGTGTTGCTTCTGACCCAAGATGCACCAACATGAGCTACCTTGGTAGACTTGAGAGCTGCAGTTCACGGATTTGGACTGGAGAGAACATTATGATAATCTAATTTGACCTCATCTGTTCTGCAGGCCATAGCACTTCCTCCTATAATTCCTTCAGCATGTGCATGCTTTCTGTCTGGGCTAAAACGTATTTTTCAAAGGCATCTATCTAATTTAAAGGCCTTAAGTGGTGGCAAATCTAACACACACTTAGGCTTGTGGCCTGAGGGTTACCTAGAAGATAACCTTCATGCAAAACCTATTCAGCAGCCTGGACTCCCCTGCCCTCAGAAGCAGAGGATGATCTCTCCCTGAAGCTGAGACCCAAACTGAGCTTCCCACTGGATTCTCCAAGATTGACTAAAAATTACCCCCAGGAACCCGGTACTTTGAGCTTGAGGAATCAAGACAGGATAACTTGGTGCTCCCTGCTCTCTCCTCTCTAGATCCTAAGTGGATGCCTCTCCTGGACAGGTAGGAGGAAAGAAGAACAGTTCTTCTCCTGCCAGGTCCTAGAAAACTGTGGGGCCACTTGGAAGAAGAGTGAACAGTTACAAAGCCCTTTCCTCAGAGGGCGAATCCTCCAAGGAAATGCTTTAAAAGGACATCCTTAACGATTCTTTTTCACACAGTCCCAATCCAACTCCAGAAGTAATACTGGACCCAAATGACTTGGAAAGTCTGTCTGAAAAAATATTTTCTAAGATGAGGATAACACGACTGAAACTTCAGTACCTTTCACTTAAAGATGCCATAAATTGAGATGAAAACCACAGAGTCAGGTGCCCAGAGCACCTCTAAAGAAGGGATCCTGGGAGACTTCTGAAACCTGGAAGGCCCGAAACCGGGAAGCCACCAACAGAGCCTGTGTATCAAAATCACATTCTCCATGAGTCACATCTGAAGCTGAACACAACAGGCCTTTCTTAGCCCTACAAACCATCAGAGCACATTCAGAGCTCAGAATCCCAGAGCTGAAGGCCACAGAGGCTTTCCCCTGAAACACACTTTCCCACTGATCCTGCCTCTCAGCCATACCAAGCTATCTACTGGAGAGAATCTCAGGAAACAGTTCTCCTGGCCTTGGGTGAATTATTTGAGGCTTATTCTGGAAGATGGTTCCAGGCCAGGACTGATGCTTTACACAGGAGCTCTGAGGAGTCTCTCAGCTGAAGTGAACAGATGAGTCAGAAAACTGCCCCAAAAACTGCAAGTCAATCTGCCCAGCCCCTGACCTCTCCCCATGGAAACTCCCCTGAGCCAGGAGTCCAGCTGCACTGGCCCCATGCACACTGGGAGCACAGGATGTTGTCCAGGACGCTGGTGTGAATCGCGCCAAGCTATGCAGAGCTCTCCCTTCTGCCCAGTCCAGAAAACAATCTGACACAACCCGTTCTTGCCACTCTCTGATGTCAGGACACCTCTCAGCACATGACCATTAAACAAGAGGAATGTAACAGCACAACACCCCAAAAGAACTGGGAAGGACTGCTCAGAGCAGAGCAGCTCTAATTGCCTGCGAACCAAGTGCTGCATGACATGCTTCTGCTTCAAATTAACAGGGACACAGTGAGGTTAAAAAGGGACTATGCCCAAGACATTTTGTTGTCCTATCAAATACATCCATCAGCAGGGCAGGAGAACTTGCAAGTCAAACAACCTTCAGGTACATAGACACCACACCACCTTTAGTAGTGGCACCTTCAATGACACCATGTAAAACCCCTTGGGGATGCAATAGAGTTTGTTTATTTCTAATGGAAAATTAAACCACACAGAGCTAACAACTGGCAAACAGGGGACATCTGACCACTTTCTCTTAGGACCAAACAGAAATACAGAGTGCCACTCTGCACACCAGGACATGGAGATTTGACTTCAGAAGCTGAACAAAGGTTCTGAGCAAATACTTCTCCCAAACTTTCTGCCCAAAAATTTCAACAATATGGCAAAATTGGTTACAAAACTCCCCTTCCTTTCACCAATTAATGGGCCTTAACATAACATCACCCTTTTGCAGGATCTTTCAAAAGAAAATTAAATTAATGCCAAAGCCTTTATGCTCACACACTGCAGTTCCTGTGGTACTTCCCTCCACATCCATGATGGTGTCAGCAGCGTTCTAGCCATGTCACTGCCCACCAAACTGTGTTTTCCCCCCAGCTGGGCAGGAAGGTCCCAACAGATACAGAATCCAACACTGCCTGCCCCAAAGAGCAAATCCCTGCACAACACCACCAAACAACAGCGAAACAGTTGCAGTGTCCTGCCACAGAGGTGACCGCATTGGGCACTTGGGTACAATCATCCCCTTCAGTTCCTAATCCCATTAAAAATATTGGAATCCTTCAGTCTAATACTGTTGAGATCACTCCTGAGGATGCTGACAACCTCCTGATGCAGCTGAAAGGCCAAGACTAACCCCCCTTCCTCTGATTCGGTCCGGGCTCACAGTTTGCACACCTGGATGTCATGGACCACGGCACAAGTGACTTCCAGCCACAGAAGCCCACCCTCCCCTGAGCCACCACCTGCCACAGCAGAGCCAGATCAACATAAGGGACAGTCAGAGTGCCAAGCTTTCTTTAAATATCCAAAACTTATACCACCACTTGCCCAAGACTCAGCAGAAGTAGTTTCAGGACCAAAAGACTTATTTTTAATAAAGGATTATCGAAATACCAATCACAAGAAACTGGCCAAAATCAGAGGTTCGATGCTGCAGCCACTCTGTTAGGAGTGTCTACAAACTTTCCTCCAGCGTTTCAACAATCTGCAAATCTGTGAGCCACAAGAGGCTTCTGGATAGGGAAAACTGGAAAACCATTCCCCTCAGCCGAGGTACCAGCAACTCTGGGAACAAGCAGAAACTCTGTTTCAAATCACCACAGGGCAGGAGTCACTGGCTGTAGCCCCTACAAGGACATTACAGCCAGCCACGTCTGTAACTGACCTTCAATCTACTTAACCCTTGTAAAAGACTCACAAGCTCCTAATCCCGCCCCCACAGAAGTTCAGAAAACTCCTTTTGCCCCAGAAAGAACAGCTTTGATCCAACACCACTCAAGAGACTTACCTTCCCGAACTGCTCGAAATATTGTTTCACATCCTCCACAGTAGTGTTCACAGACAGACCACCCACAAATATCTTCTTCGTTCGGGTCACCATCTGGAAAAGGGAAGGACAGGAATTCACCAAATAAACCCAGAGCGAGCAGAGAATGAGACTCCAAAGGCCACTAACTCCCCTCCGCTGCCGGGAAGCACCGATCCTTTTGCTGCAGCTGAGCTTCCCCCTTCTCAACGCCCTCTGGCCAAACACAACTGGCAAATTTGTCCCACACCAGACTGATGCTCTCCCCCTCACACCACCCCATCCTACATGCCAGCACCCAGCCACCACCTCCTCAGCAGGCAGCACGTTACCAGCCTCTCCCCTCACCCGCCACCGCTCCCTTGGCACTGTGACAGCACCCAAATGCATGGGGCACAGCTGTCCCCTCCCCAGCCCTGCCACTTTGCACAGCCACCTTGCTCCGGGTGACCCCAGAGGTGCCTGCTCTGCCCCCAGACAGGAGGCCTGCCAGCACAGGTAGGCTCTCCAGCCTCTACCCTTCCAGCCCACAGATTGCACAGCATCCAGTCCCTGAATGGAACAAGTCTCATTTCACACCCATTCCCCAGACACTTAAGTGGAGCTCAGTCAACTCCCAGTTAAATGTCTTTTGCCTCTGCAAGAAGGTAAAGGGAAGATCCCTCTGTCACTTGTCACAGATGCAGCTGGGACAAGGAAGAAAACTAACTACCCTGAGAGGGGCCATGGCTGCCAGGCTGAGGCACACCGACATCCTTTGAACTGGCTCTCCAGCTGCATCCTCCCCTTAGCTGCTTGGCTACACCCCTGCTCTCAGAGGAACACATGGTCCTAATTACCCCAAGGAGCATAGGGCTAATCCGCAGCAATTCCCTGGCTTGGAGAGCAGCCCGTTCTAACACTAAAGCACCTTCTGTCACCAAACTGCTTAATGGAATTAACCCAATTCCTACCATGTGCTTCCTGGCTCCAGTTACTCGGGATACCTGCTCACCAATTGTTCTCAGTGCCTGAACCCCTTACTCCCCTCCCAGCGCCAGTCTCCTCTTCCCTCCCTGCTTCTTGACACAGCTTCTCCCCAGCTCTTTCACTCATGACAGCACTTGGAATAGAGACCCTAAACTTCAAAACTCACATCCAAGAGCCAAGTTAAAGGAAGACCCAAAGTCTGAAGGCAGCTTCCAGCCTGCTGCTGGCTCCTCAGTTAAAAGTTTCTAGCTGCACAGCTGGAAAAAGTTCCTGCCACTGCACATTTCAATGCCAGAGCCTCCTATAGATAAGGTCCAACACCAAACTCCTTCTGCCTCTTCCAGTGCTGAAGCACACAAGGGCATTTCACAAAGTGAAATCCTCCTCCCCTTCCCTGCCATACACCTATTCATACCCACAGGTGCACACACACGGCACTCCTCCAACCTGTATCCCAGCGCAGCACGGAGCTGTTCTGTATCTCCTAAGGCCTGGAACGTGCAAACACTTTCTGCAACCTTGGAAGGACTAAGTTCACCCTGGGCAGCATATAATCCACCAGCTTTAACTAGTGCATCCTAAAGTACGACCGAGGGGCCTCCTGGTTCCTCCAGTGCCACGCAAACCCCCAGGACTGTGCTCCAGGAGAGTCCTGAGCAAACCCCAGCGAGTGACTCTGTTGTGTGCACTGACAGCCTTGCACAGAGGGACAAGATTCACCACCACAAATCTCACCCCCTGCGGTGCAAGGGCTGCCTGCAGTGCTTACCTTGGGCTGTGCTCGGCGGGGGAACGCTACCTTCGGGTCAATCTGAAAGAGATGTGGGGAAGAACAGGTGAACATGCTTTTCCTGCCTATTTACAGGCACAGGGTTTCCTCCATGTGCACGGCTGTCTCTGCCCACGTGGCACCTTGCTAAAAACCCAAGGAATCTACCTGAGGTGCATAAAATTGAGCTGGCTGCAGACATCTTTCCCTCTTGGTAAGGTGTAGGCCAGGGAGACTACAAGTCCCAGCATGCAGTAGTCCATCTCTGGCTGAGCGCTGGCCAGACGCACTGAGAGCCCATCACATGCTGGGATTAACAGGCTGGGCTGCACCCTCCCACTCGGCCTGCCCCTGGGTGCCCTGCATCACCAGCCTCGTGGTAAAAGTGCTTTCTTTTGCCTTTTTGCTCTTACCCTTCACCTTGCCTACAAGTACAGAGTTCATCTGGGTAGTAACGGGACAGAGAAGAAGCAGTGCACAAACAGCCCAACATTTCATCCCTTCAAACACAGGGCGAAGCCGTACAAGAGCAGACAGGATGGCACGAATTAACCCGAGGAGCCCCGGCTGCGGAGGCCGCGGCCGCAGGGAACGTGCTGCCCCTCTCCCCAGGCTGCGCCGCACACAAAGCCGCGATGCCTCCCTCCCTCCCTCCGCGGGCTGAGCCTCCATTGTGCCTGTTCAGCTTCCCTGTAAACCTGCTGCCGGCCGGAGCTGCCGGCCCCGCGCCGCCATCCAGGTGCCGCGCGTTCTGCTGGGCTCAGCACGGATGAGCCCATGCCTGCATTGGCCTCACACCTCCACCAGCACCACCACAAAAGCTGGGACAACACTAATGCAGCTGCAAGCCAAACACCCACAAAGCCTCCTCTCCTCCTCAGCCACCACCTCTTTCTTTATAGCCTATTTTTACAGCAACTCCTGAAAAGTTACATCACATTGGGGATGATCCAGACCTACAAATCAGCTTACAAAGACCTGTACTAAAGGCAGGTCTGGCTCATCCCTGCACTTGGACAGGCTGCAGCTGGGAGGGCAGCCCGGAGCATTGTCCCATCAGCCCGGCAGCTCCAACAGCCCAAAAGGAAGCTGTGTTTCTCCAGCTCCTCTCACTGCTTTGTTCAGCTTTCCAGCCTGGCTGCCCTCCCGTCCCGCATCCTTTCACTTGTCACACAGCCCCGGAGCTTGGCCCCCCTGTGCCCTTCCACCAGCTTCTCTCCCTGCCTTCCCCACCTCCATCCTGACTCACAGCTTACAACATAAATAAACTCAGCACGTAGGTAAACAGAGGCAAAAGTGAAGAGCACAAATAAACTCAAAAATAAACCTCCCTCCCCAAGCTCCAAGCGCCAGCAGATTAGCAAACCCTCTGGTGCCTCCCTGGGGCATCGGAACCATCCAGTCCCTGCCCTCCCCTCCCTGCACACAACACACCCCCCCACTGCTTCCTGGCTAGTGCAGACACCCACAGCGAATTCTGAGGACAGGGGACGGCAGGAGACCAGGAGGTTGATGGCAGATAATAAGCAAAAACAATAATCTACTGTCTTTTACTTCTCAGCCAGTGTCATTCAGCTCCTGCCAATAAGATGCTTTCATACTCAGCAATGCTAAGCTCAGCCTCATTTTCTCATTACCCTGAGTGTGATCAACTGGGCAGAGATAACGTGTCCTCCTGGCTGGAGGGAGCAGGCAGTCATTTCACAAATTCTTCTGCACAACCAGCTATTGTTGCAGGTAGAGGGAGGCCGGGGTGCCCGACTGCGGGCGCAGCCCTGGGAACATGCGGAGGGGAGCGGGTTCAGTGCTGGATTCAAGTTACTCAAACTGGACTGCTCCTTGGTGGCTCGAGCCCTTCCTAATTAAAGCAAAAGCACTGGTACCTTATTCCCTCATTTCTAGTGTTAAAACAAATAGCTCTGGAGGAGTTGTGTTTCAGTGTCACCTGCTGACGTAATGGATCCTTTTTACGAACCTAGATAGAAATCTGCTAAGAGTAAGAGCATTCAGAACTGCTCAGATTGTATCCAAAAAAACAAAACCCCAGATCAGGCTGCACTGAGTGGAAGTCACCTGAGCTCAAGCCACTTCCCCTTCACCCCACAAGGCTTTGGGGATGAGGAATACCACTGATGTCGCAGGTGTACCAGCAGGCCAGCCAGGTCCTCAGTACAGCTCTTCAGGCCATGTGTAGCACCATTTCATAGCTCAGGTCACATAACTCCTGTGTTAACCCAGCTGGTATCAGTGTCCAAAAGCATGGGGAGGGCTGGGAAGGACCCAGGAGACCTCAGGACTGGGTTTCTTCGTTCATCACACCTCCAGCACTACCTCTGCCCCGCGGGTCTGCGCTGCCTGGGAGCTGCGAATTGTTCCCTCCACCACAAAAGACAAACCCAGCAAAAACTCAGCAACGGCAACAAAGAAACGACGGGGAGACCCAGCACTGCCAAGTGCTCTTCCCAGAGCTTGTAAAGAAGCAGTTCAAGGCAGCAGCGAGCTGCAGCTTTACAAAGTCACGCAAATCTTTCACCTTGAGACTGTAAAGCCAATTCTCATACCAAGTATTTTCAAAAATAACCCTGTAGCCTGCTCCTATCTAGCTTACAGACAAAGAGGAGTCTGAAAAGGACAAGGTTTTCCCAAAGAATCAGGCCAACCACCCTTTCCAGGGTAGGAAGAATCACAAAACAATGAAGCAACAAGTTGAGCAGACACTGTCTATCAAATGCTGCTTGCCAGAAGACACCAAGCCTCAAGAGAAGGCTGTCCTGTCAGGACAGCCTTTTCCTGAAAAGTTTCATAAAACTCTAAATTAAGATTCAGATGAGTTTCTGTCATTTAACCCACGACTCACGGCAGTGTCTTTCAGCTCAGCAGGGAAAAAGCATATGGAGGCTTCATGCACTACCACAAGACCAACCTCTTGTGAGCCAAAACTCCCCAAAACATCTGACACAGCTGAAAACCACGCTAAACAAAATTAAGAAGGAAGGGGGAAGAGGATCAAAGTTCCTAACAAAGGAAGGCCTTGGTAAAATTGCCCCCACTCTCCACGCCGCGCCGGCGGGCCGAGCGGAGCAGATGCAGCAGGGAATTTCAATGGCTGGCCGGTCCCCACGCGCCCTGCGCCATGAGGCCCTTCTGTTCTCCTGCAGAGCCCACCGTCCGCCCCTGCCCTGCCCTGCCCATCTCTCCACACCCTCGTTGGCCACACCGTGGGCTGCAGAGTGGCTTCACACAGGCAGCAGTGGTGGTTCAGGAAGAAAAATGGAGACGGCGTGTTTCACCTCACTCCTAGCCCCAAAACACTCTCAGGGTGAGTGCTACAACAGACATCCATCACTGGCCTTTCCAAGATGGGTCTATGCCCACAGACTCACGACAGGACTAGCTGAGCAGACACTGTGTTTACACAGGCTAGTAAAAAAAAAAAAAGAGAAAAAAAGAAAGCCCTGGGCCCTCCTCAAAAGACTTTACTGTAACCTTCCCATAAAGCAAAACTCACTTTATATCACTACTGAAAGGAAGAGGGCTGGGAGTCCTGGGGACCCAGCCTCAGCCAGGAAGGCTGGGGTAGGTTTAACCGGGAGCTCCCGTGGGGAGGAAGGACCTGTGCACATCAAAGGGAGCGATCCAGGCAGTTAAACAGGAACAGACATAAATCTCACTGCAACTCACGCTGTAAACCCTAAGAAAGAGGGTCTCGCTCTCCCGCCCTCTCCCTCTGCCAAGATAAAGGCTAGAACGCCTGAGCCACGCGCTGCAGGAAATAAAGTTGTGCATTTGGACTCCTCGGCAGCCCATGCCCAGAGCCAGAACATCTCCCCTCACCGTGCCAGCCCATCGCAGCCCCCACCGCTCCCCCATCCCTACCCTCACCTTCACCCCAGGGCAGCAATAAGGAAAAGGAATTCAGGGGAGGGCAAGTCACTAAAACTAAAGAGAAGGGACCTCCCACTCAGATACCTCACCCCCACCCCTTCAAACAGCTTGCACATCTCCCAAGCACCACAGATTCACAAGGCAGGACCCACCACGATACTCCACTAGCCCAGGGAGCCACCAAAACCTTTCTGCTGGCCCAGCCAGGCTTCTCATCAGACCCCACTTGCAGAGCGAGGGTTGGAGCCGCAGGCGCTCCAAGAGGCCGGTGGTGGCCCACATGGGCGGGCACTGGCCACACTCGGAGACAATAAAGTCCTGAACCTCCATGACCGTTACAAAAACTTCGCCTGGGGAAACCACAGGAGAGTCTCTGGGGTGCACAGCACGAGGGCCCTCTGCCAAGGGGGGGTGCACACGCCACCATGGCCGGGGAAGCAGGGCCTGGGTGCTGGGGAACAGCACCCCTGGGGAGGGAGCAGTGCTCGGCAGCACACGGAGCAAAAGGGCGGCTTCCCTCTCCCCAAACGCAGCCGCATCCGTTCCCCGGGGCAAATCCTCGCCCCAAACGCATTCAGGTGTCCCAGTTCCGACAGGGCCACGGTCACTCCACAGAGGGGCCTTACAACCGATGGGCAGGAAGAAAACCATCACCAGGATCCACAGATCTACACCAGGAATCAGCCCCGGGTCAACGGCGAGCCCGGTGCTCGGGCGGCAGCTCAGCTACCCGCCGGCAAGTGGGATAGAGAAGGGGACGATCGATCCAGATCAGGAATCAATAGTTTACAACCTCTAACTGGAAATCAAACACCGCAATCGACGGCTGCTCCGAGCACAGCCGCTCTGCCGGCAAATGCACCCCTGAGATGAGAGAAGTCATCTCACCGTCTTGGAGTCCAGTTCATGTCTGGATTGGGCCAGGACCTTGTCGACGCCAGCCTGGTCCATGAACGTGACGAACCCGAAGCCCCTGAGGCCCGCAGCCCAGGCAGGAGAGGGGATGCGGAGAGAAGAGAGAAAGTTGGTTAAAGTGGCGGCCGGGCCGCGGCGGGGGCGAAGGGAGGCGAGGGCCCGGCCTCTCACCTGGATCTCTTTGTCAGCGGGTCCCGCATCACC